TAGCATAAAAAGGCCACAACTAGGTTTAAGACGTGTTTTGGGCCCAAATTAGTTGCAAAATAGAGGTTCGCAGTAGTCAACAGGCTTAGACCCTATCATCAAGTACGAGAATGCTTTGAACACATGTATGATCGTGCAGGGAGGCCAATTATAAAGAGCTTTTAAGATTTTCAAACTTTATAGAAGAGCAACCTCAAACATAGTTTGACATATTGTCTTTTGTACTTTGATACACCTTTCATCTCGTCTCTCTTGCACGAGATCTTTGACATACTCTTAGTGAGACTTGGAGTTTTGAGCTACTATACTTGAAGATCGAGAACTCATCTTATTCTAGTTTTTTTTATGATTATTTTACTTTTTCTCTTTAGCATGAGTAACTAAGTCCATAACTAGGGCTATGAGAATACTTTTTCATGAATTTATGAGATTTTGATGTTTGAATCTAAATTTAGTTTCTGTTCGTGATTAGTTTTTATCCTATTGTGCATAATTGTATAATCCTAATTAATTATATTATCAAGCAACCGTACCTCGATTAGTTAATAGATCTATAGGATAAAATGAGACAAATAATTATGTGGACCAAACCAATCTTTCTCTTTCAATCATTATTAAATTAACAAGTTTATAGGTGTTTTATGCTTTCTTGAATTAATATCTTGCATGACTATTGGGATGCTAGTTTAGAGAAAAGAATAATAATATTTCATAACCATTGAGTATTAATAGTAATTGTATGAATTAATATCCTCGTGCATACTTGTTCACGGTCCATTAGAGATGTATTTGGACCTAGAGTTAGCTTGCCTATATATATAGGTTAACTCCCTTGTAAAATTCAGATTGAAATTCATTTGTATGATTTTCTCACTTTTGTGAGTTTGAGTTCTCTAAGAAGTCTCTCTAGAATTCTCTAGGATTCACTTCTCTTATCATGTAACTCCTCCATATGGTGAGGCAAAGAGGCTTATCTCTAATCCTTTAGAATGGTGTCATTCATTCCTAATTCATTTATTCTTTCTTTCCACTTGAATTTTCTCTCCTTTGGTTCCTTCAAAATCTGAGATCTACTTCTTCTTCCTTAGTAAATTTGGCTCAATTTTCTTGGATTGCACAAGTAAGGAAGTATTGTTCATCCTCTTGAAGATCCGTTTCATAGGACTTTCTTGAAGAATGCTTAAAGAAACTCATCAATTTGAGGGGATAAAATTGCATATAACTACAACCCTTATGTTAGTTTTACCTAACTTTCAAAAGGAGTTTATGATTAAGAGTGATGCTTCCGAACAAGGTATTGATGCTATTCTTACTTAAGGTGGCAAGCCAATTGCGTATTTTAGCAAGCCTTTAGGAGAAAGAAATTTGTCCAAGTTAGCCTATGAAAAAGAATTAATAGTTGTGGCTTTATCTATTCAACATTGGAGGTTTTATTTGTTAGGGGCAAAAATTCATAGTAAGGACGGATCAAAAAAGTTTGAGACAACTACTCCTACAAAGGGTAACTACAGTGGATCAACATAATTGGGTTATGAAGTTGTTGGGTTATCAGTTTGATATTAAGTATAAGTCAGGTCTGGAAAATAGAGGAGCAAATGCTATCTCATGCAAATATAGTGAAACAGGATTACACTAAGTAGCTCATATCCTAACTGGGATGGAGTTCAGGCAATAGTGGAAGAGGTGCATAAGGATGCAAAGCTGATGCCCATTATATCAAATTTGAAACAAGACATGGAGACCAAACTAGGCTTTGACTATAGAAGGTGAATTATATCCTAAGTTAGCTACATGTTAATATAGACCATTTAAAGTGTGCTGGAACAAGTTAGAGCAGTACCTTATAGGTTGTAGTTGCTTGAAGCAACCAAGATACATCATATTTTTCATGTATCTTTATTTTTAAGAAAGTTTTGAGAAATTATAATATGTAAGATGAACTTTCTTTAGAGTTAGCTTGTCATGATGGAATAAGTTTGGAACCTGAAGCTATGCTAACAAAGAAGCTAATCAAAGAGGGAAAGAACATTTTTAGTCAAGTGCTTATCTAAGGCCAAAGTTTTGAAAGATGCCACATAAGAAGAGAAATTTAACATAAAGAAGTCAGTTTTCTCATTTGAGCCTTAAGGACAAGGCTCCTATTGAAGAAGTGAAGCCTTCAACATGACTCAAACTGTTTTTAGTTGTCTTCTTCAAGTCCAGAGAAGCTTTTGACGTCAACTAGATATTTTCTACTCATCTTCTACATTTTCGACGAACTTGCACATTTTCCAATAAATGAAAATTCTCTTTTTTTTTAAATTATTTTTCTTCTCTATTTTGATTCTCCTACTCTGTTTTGTTTCAAATTCCAATTCTTAAAATAGAAGCAATGGTTGCTCCTACCAATCAGTCACAAGGAGCTACATTTGTTTCAATTTCTTCTTATGCATTATTGAAGCCATTTCAATGTTTTGTGCTAAAATAACTTCAAAGTAATGATTGAAGCTATTGAAAACTATGGTTCCACACCTAAAGCTTCCTAGCTATCATGAGTGTAGAGTTTCTCTTCTTAAAATGAAGCTAGAGTATACAAAAGAAATGTTGAAAAGTCCTGAAGAAAAAAGAGAAAAGTATGGATGTTCAATTATGTAAGATGAGCGGACGGATAAAAAAAAATAAAACATTAATCAATTTCTTAGTAAATTGTCTAACTGGTTCTATGTTTATGAAAAGCATTGATGCATCTGCCTATATGAAAACTAGAAAAAAAGTTATTTAAAATCTTGAATAATTTTGTTGAGGATATTAGAGAAAAAAAATTGTGCAAGTAGTCACTGACAAATATAAGTAATTGTGTTAGTTAGTAAAAATTATTTTCAACTCTCACATAATATCATGTTAATAGTTTGTATTCCTATTTTATCAGTTTCTAATTTTAGTCTATGCAATTTAATTTTAGATAAGTTGTTGCAAGCTAAAAGATCACATTTGTTTTGGACTCCATGTACTGCACACGTTATTGATTTGATGTTAGAAAACATTGAAAAATAGTGAGAGTTAAGAGAAGAATACAAAGAAGAGTTAGTCTTGTAGGCTTTATTTATAATTATTCATTGACTTTGAACATTATGAAGATGTTTACAAATAAAGCTGAATTGAGATGTAAAGTGACAAGATTTGTCACAATATTTCTCACGTTACAAAGGTTGCATAATAATAATAATAATTATTAGTATTATTTAGAAAAATATTCAATTTTCATGAGTGGTTAAAGTTCAAAACGACTAGAAAAGCTAACGGAAAAAAAAAGTAATAGAGGTTGTGTTTATACATTCTTTTTGGAAGGATGTTGTTTTCACTTGTAAGGCTATAGGGCTACTTGTGCAAGTTTTGAGGTTTGTTGATAATGAAAAAAAGCCTACAATGGGTTACGTAAATGTCAAATAACTTTAATTTAAAGTGCTTGATCTAATAATATTTAATGTGTGAAATTAATATATTTTTTTTATGGTAAAATAGATCCATTCTAAAAAGAGAAGCAAACTTGAGCATCAAAGGTTGCAAGACTTCTCATTAAATATAACTAAGTTATTAGTGAACGTTTTGAGTGTTCTGATGTGGTGGATCGTATTCTCTTAAGGGATGTTGATGATAATAATGATTGGTTACTAGAAGGAACGACTAGAGATGATGAAAATGTTGTAAATGAATTAGTATTTGATGATGATAACTTGACTTGGGGAGTTGTTGCGAATGCAATTGGGTCTACTGAACCTATAACATACAATGGGCAACAAACTAGATCAAAACTCGAGACAACTACAATGACTTATTCCTCTAAATTTAAGAGAAAAGGGAAGGAAATTATACAAGAGAAAAAAGAATGTAATATTGAAGAATCTGAAGAAGATGATGAAGACCTCTACAAAAGTAGCAATGAAAGTAAAATGAAAGAAGACATGGTAGATCTTGAAAACGAAAATGACAATAATTATTAAAATATTTGTATTTGAATTGAATATTTAGTATTATTAAACTTCTAAGCATTAAAGACTTGAATTTATTTGATTCTTGTATTTTGTTGTTACTTGTTGATATTTGACATGTGTTATATTTTTAAACTTTCACTTTTGATTATTAATATTGCATATGTCTTCAATTTGGGTCTTAATTTTATATTTTTAAACATATATGTGTAGCTTAACTTATATTAAGTATATTTAAAATGCTTAAAATTGTGGTCATCCTGCAATACCGCTCCAGTAATTTTGAGGGCAGCCGCTCCGCACCGTTACTTGAAATTGACTACTATGGTCAAGGGGTGTTAATCTCTCTAAAGGAGTTTGCTTTATGGCAATAGGAACCGTCCTACTATATTTCTATTTCATTTTGAGGAATAACACTTATATTCTCTCATTTTTCCTGATTGTTCTTCTTCTATATTTTGGGTCCTTAACATTATGTGTCTAAACTATGCAACAGAACATATATTTATAATACATGAATTAAATAATAAAATAAAAAATTACCTAATTACTCTAATTATAACGATATTAACTTTTCTATTTACAACATTACTATAATTATATATTATCATTTGATTCTAAATATACAAATTTACTCACTAAACTATCGATTATATGTACCTTTCAGAATGGATAGATAATGTTATGATGCAAATTACTTTGCAGTAGGATTCAATTGCAAGACATGAAACTTTGTTCCACATTAGAAGAATGGAATTTTGGTGTGAGATATAAGAGGCTCTTAGTCCAACTTTTTGTGATGTGATTCTTCCAAGGTTCTTATTACATTCCTTGTTTTTCTCCCATTTTTTATTTCATTGTAGAGCTCAAGACCTTGGCTAGTTGGCAGTGTAATAAGAAACACAACAACCATTTTCTGTTTGCTATTATTGGGTTCCAACCTAAACTGAAAATCTCTTTGCAAGAAAAATGTTGAATTTCCCCACACACGGATTATTTCCTGTTTTCCATCACCAAGTTGATTTTGTTTGCAAAAGGTACCAAGTCAAAAAATCTGCTAGCAGCATTCACCACTAACAATATGGTCTTTTTAGCTTCGATTCAAGTTATCAAGTTTCATCTTCTAGGTATGTACAATGCATTGCATTCCAAATCCGGCACATATCCAACATCTTTAATTTGCATAATTAACAATTTCAGAACTTCACACACCTGCACATTTGACAAAACAAATCTATCTCCAACAACAAAACTGTAAACCTGGTCTTTCAATTCAATCCAGCTCCTTCCTGCCTCCTTTTTATTTTTAATACTTCTCATCAGCTTCCTCAAGCTAGCAAAATCAGTCCAGTTACCTTCAGCCGCATAAATATTTGACAGCACTGCGTAAGTTCCAGCCCTATTTGGCATCATATCCAAAACCCTCAAAGCTGCTAATTTGGCCATACTTGGTTGTTTATGTGCTTTACAAGCTCCAAGAAGGGCTACCCATATAGACTCATCTGGCTTAAATGGCATATCCTCTATTAGCTGATAAGCTTCCTCCACTCTTCCAGCACGACCAAGCAAATCCACCACACATCCATAGATGCCTCTATCTGGTGCTACATTATAATAGCTGGTCATTATTCTAAAATATCTCAGCCCTTCTTCCACTAGTCCAGCATGGCTGCAAGCATGCAGAAGTGCCATAAACACTATCGTATCTGGCTTAATACCTGATCTGACCATTGCATCAAACAACTCAACAGCCTCTTTTCCATGTCCATGAGCTCCATATCCAATCATCATTGAAGTCCAGGAGACCAAATCTGGGCATGGCATTTCACTAAATATTTTATGTGAATCAGCTACATTTCCACACTTGGCATACATATCAATAAGAGCATTGGATACTTCCAAGTTGTTATCGAGGCCTCTACAAACAATTACACCATGAAGCTGTTGCCCACGAAACAGAACTGCTATGTTAGCACATGCAGCTAAGACACTAGTAAATGTGAAACAACTTGGACTAAAACCTTCTGACACCATTCGGGAAAATATGCAGAGAGACTCCCTAGAATCCAGTGTTTCAAATCCAGCAATCAAGGTATTCCATGTAATCATATCTTTCTCACTCATTTCAGAGAATAACTGCTTTGCTTCAGATGCACAACGACACCTGCAATACATGTCCAGTATGGAATTCATGACAGGAAGCTGGGACTCAAATCCATGATTAATCACTGCAGCATGTACCTGCTTGCCCAAAATACTCGAACCAATCATGGCACAAGCTCTAACAGCAATTGAGAAGCTGAAGGAACTCAGCTCTCCTTCCTCCTGTTTGTGACCAATAAATTATATTGCATTAATTTAGACCACCTAATCACTCAAAAAATTAAGTAAAAATAGACATGGACTTGGAACAAGAAAAAAGGGATAAAACAAAGGGTGACCAGAAACATTTGACGGAAAACTCGAAGACCACCATAGGCATCTCCTCTATGAGTGTACCCAGTGATCAAAGTAGTCCAGGAGACAGCATTCTTGGTTACAATATTGTCAAAAACTATTCTTGCATGGTCCATGGTATCACAGCAAGTGGCATACATATCCATGAGTGCATTATCAACATATATGGATGATCCTTGATTACCAGTCTTAATGGCCATCCCATGAGCTAATCTGCCACATGATAGAGCTTTCAAACCCTTGCATGCCTTCAAAACAGCGGATATAGTGAAAGCATTGGACTGCACCCCATCTCTGAGCATTTGAGAAAACGCAGTCCATGCACGGTTATGGTGGTTGCATGAGTTGTAGCCAATGATGATGGCCGTCCAAGATTCCTCGTTTCTGTGGGACATTTGGTCGAACAAATTGTGTGCCTCTTTGATGGAGCCCTTATGGAAGTAAGGCTTTAAATTGAAAAGATCACAGGGTGATGCAGTCAAATCCTTCGGGAAAAACGGTGCGTTCAATGGGATGGGTCGAAAATCAGTGGGGGACAATAATTTCCTAGCAACCGCCATCATCCTTGTTTCAAATGCTCATACAACCAATGCTTTTATTTAAGCTGCTATGAAACGTGTTGTTTCGGGCTTTGTGTTGAAAAAAATGCTACTCTCTTGCAATAATTGATACGTCGGTTAGTAAACTTGAGTTTAAGCAATTATTGATAATATTTATTTTTAATGTTTAAACTTAAACATAAAAGTCAAAATTAAAAAAAAATTATTTAAGTTTAAATTTATCTTATTTAAAAAATATTAAAATAATTACTTGATAAATTAATTTCTTTAGTGTAAAATGTTTAAAAAATTCAAATAAAAAGTTACAATAATTTTATTGTACATGTTACATATATTCTATTATAGTATTAATTATCTAATGAATAGTTATAATTTATATTCTAAAATTATTTTATTATTTTAAAATAATTAAATCATGTGTTTTAAATTAAGTAGTTAGTTTAATATAAAAAAAACACACTAAAGAGTTATTTAGAAAAAAAAGTTTTAAAGAGAAGAGCATAAATTTATATTTAAAATTAAAATAAATTAACATATTAACCAAAATTTAATATATTAATAATGTATTTATTATCATAAATAATATGTAATTTTTTATTTAAAATTAAAAAATATGCTCGCTCCCTTCATCCCCAAAAACCTCCTCCGGTTAATTATTAAAACTTACTGTGCAACGCATCAGTTCGAGAGCTTTGCTTTTCACCTGTTGGCTATAAGAGTTGTCAACAAACAAATATTACCTTGTCTGCTTTTACTGGTTGCTGTAAAGGCATATTAGTGTTACAGTTACTGTTCTCTACAAAAATATCATATAAGACAACCTTGACTAAATGATTAAAATGTCCTTTAATCTCAACATCAGTGATGAGAACGTAAATTCGAAGGAGGTAAAATAATTTAGGTACACTCACAAAGACACCCGTTATAATAAAATGTGACAAGGAGCAATTGTATGATGAGATAAATTAATGTGAATATTTGTTGGTATACACTTAAGTGAAAATCCTTAGGTATGAACTAGGTTGGCTAGTGCTAAAGGGCTAAACAATTTGTAAGAGGTCATACTTTTAAATCTCTACACCCTCATTGTAAAAAATATTTTAAAATAAAACTAGAGAATCGCCTTCCCAATACAAAGGAAAGCATGCTTAACTATAATTACAATAGGGAACAATATGTTAATTTTCCAATTTAGCTTTTACTGTAACCTATGAAACGCATAACATACAGTATAGCCTGGACTAATGAATGTACAGTAGGTAGTAGTATTCTGCTTCCAAATAATGCGTAGGCTCCCTCATCACACAAGAATCTGAGACCTGGCAGCAATACGGGAACACTTTCTCCTGCCACTTTTGCCAAGTCCACATACACATATCTCAAGAAGCTCATAATCCTCCTCCCAGAATAACATTGATGCCATTTCAGGATTCTTCAAAAGCATCTTGGATGTAAGGAACCCAGCTATAGTCCATGTTTGATGCATCCGGGCTTGTTTTCCAATGAATTTTCCATTACGTGTGTCGTAGTATTCAGGCCAAGAATCAACTGGTAGTCGATTCTCTGCCAAAGTAACTGCTTTCTGGGCAAGTTCAATTCTCCCCATTTTGATGCATGCCAGAGTGAACTGAAGGTCATGTATAAGGAAATACATCAGAAATTAAGGCTACACTTCATGACTTGACAATTGATATGCAAGGTCTCACAAACAGCATTAGCAAATTATACCCAACCAACAGAGCTTTCCTTAAAAGTTAAACACTTTTATTGCCATCAGGAAAAATTTACCTGCCACAGAAGGGTTGGCCAAGATCCACCATTGTGATATGACCAAGGGCTGCAAAAGTAAAAAAGCATGTTTCAGTTATGATGCATGCTATCGAAGCAATTCTGACTTCGAAGACAATTTCCACAGTATAAATTCATCAAATTCTCTGTACCTTTATAAAAAGAGAAAGAAAATCAAATTGCTCAAAGATATGTGGAACAACAGAAGGGAAGATTACAGAAAGAACTTACGTATTCTTTGGGTCACTGCCAGTAATTATGCGCCATTCCTCATTATCTAATGCAGGATAACATATCTTAAGAGGCATATGACCCACGAGATCATCCCATTTTGCTTCCATCAGATTTAAGATAGCCTGGTTCTGTCTTGGGGTGCCCAACGATGAAACAATAGACCAAAGATTTCCAAGAGTGAAAAACCTGAAATCCATGTGAGCTGGCTGCAGATTTCCAATCAGATACCCACCTTCTTCTGGAATCCAATCCATTAGCCACAAAGGAATTTGTTCTGGATAGATGTTGAATTTGTTGATGGCATCCATGGAGTACTCTTCTGTTTTATACCTGTATATTTCATTCATCTTTTTCATATCCACCCAGTAGTATTCTCTAATATGGAATGACAGTGCACTGAGTCTGTTGTTAATGGCTCTAATCAGATTATTGGTTCCATCACTTACTGCAAGCATCTCACGTGAGCAACGAAGAGCTGAGTAAAACAATGCCTGTAAGGAAAAGCTCACCACAGATAAATGGAGGGATAATAAGTGAAACAATAGAGGCAGAATTCAGAAACCACATTACCGGAATTCAGAGTTTTATCTCATGTTTAGCAAAGATACATCAATGTCACTTGTAGCATATAATGAAAATAACATATATCAAATTAAAGCAGAAGCAAATGAATATAAAATAGGGCAATTGCAACTGAGTGAGTAATATAGAGCAGATCAAACAAAACAGCATAACTTCCAAATCCATATTTATTTCCTAATATAAATTACAGAAGAATGAAAAACATAGCATAGTTACACTCACTTGGATCTCAAGGGGGTGACCATGAATGCCCATCCGCCTGTCTATCATGCAAGACCCATCGGTGACTAGCAGAGAAGGAAACATATCAAAACCATCAGTTAAACACAATTTAAGGATCATTTTTAAGCCTGTTTGAACATCCACCCTTTCTTGCAAGCTGTAGTCACCAGTGAGCTTCCCATAAGCCCGCAACAGGATGATCCACCACAATCCTATCAAAGAAACGAAATATAAACAATGATTTTGTTATGTTACATGAATAATATTTTTGTGAACGCCAGTGGTTTGAAACTCATAAGCAATATTCAATAACTTTATTCTTCTATAGGCATATTATTAGAAACTTCCAAATAGTTAAATACTAACCTGAATCTACAGGTGCAACACGACCAATAGCAGATTCCCCAAAATCTGGATCTAAAACTTCTTCATGATTATCTCCATCAAGAGCCACAGTTCTAACTTTGAAACTTGCAGGCATCAAGCCCTGACCTGGACTGTAACAGTCCACTGTTTTCTCCCAACTCTTTTACAATTTTTAATAAGGAAAAGAAAGAGGTAGTATATTAGCACCCAATATACAACAAAGTTTTAATTTTGAAAACGCTTATTGATTTTTGTAATAATACATAGATACACTTTCTTTGGGGATCAACCAAAGTACAGACAGAATAGTGAATTACGATTTAATCATCCTAATGAATACACTACACTTCCTTTTGGCCAGCCATTTATATGATAGAATCATTATGTTTAAATGAGTGTTATATTAAAAGACTAAATTACCTGCAACTGCAAGGTGTGAAGAAGAAAATTCTTGACAATCTCACTTTCTCCTCTGAGCAAGAAAGCAAGAGCTGAAGGGACAAAATCCCTAATAAAGACCTGATCATAATTCAAAGGTAACTTGTCACCAGGATCATTTGCAGCCACTGTCCCCACAGGGTTACCACAATAAGTAACCACAGCACCCTGCAACAATTTCCATGCTTCTTTTTCCACATCTGTGTCTACCCCTTTAGTCTTCCCCAGAGTCACATTCTCTGTGCTTGTGCTAACATCTTCATTTCCAACAACATTCTCATCACCCTTATGAACACTTTCCCCCACCAAAGGCTTCAAATTAATGCCACCCTGTATGTAAATCCTCTCAAAATTATTGTCACTGACACGGGTCTCGACGGTAGTTGAGAAATTTTGAACCTTGAAGGCAAAGGTGGAGACATCCCTGTTGGTTGCGCTAGAATTCAAAAAGGGTAAGAGGAAAACTTTGTGAGGACTACGCTGTATGCAATGAATCGGATTGGTGTGGTGGTGATTGAAACGAGGTTTCAATCCCAAAAACGATGAATTGATTGAAGAAGTGAGAATCCTACGAGCGGGTTTCATTGCGCGGTTGCGAATAAGGGCAATTGTGTTCATGACGAAAGATACGGTGTTGCGATGAGGGAATGATAACAGAATCGAAATATGCGGAAATTGTCAGTATATTATTTCATACACTAAAATTCTCAAAAGCTTTTGTAAGAATAAGAATGTTTCGGTTTTGGTTGAAAACGGTTCTTTGCCTCAAATGTTGGAAAAGAAAAAAAGCACTGCGCGGTGGCTATGTCACGTGGATTGAAAGCGGTGCTGCTGCCGGCGGGGATCACAAAAATTCTTCCACCCATTTCTCAAAACTCAACCTGAAGGAAAATGTTATGCATTGGTTCTGCAGAAGTCATTTATCGTTGCGTGCGCAAAAGTTCATTAATTTTCGTAGAAAGACTCCATTATTTTATTCAATTAGTAATTATTTTTTATCTAAATGATATAAAAGAAAAAATTTATTAAAATATTAGAATATATGTAATTCAAATAATAAAAAATACAAATAATTTAAATTTAGAGATAAAAGAGGAAATTTTAAAACTTTCTTTATGATTTAACTGGTTACAAAGTATCAGTTTATCCTATTATTTTTATATTGTCGATCACAAAAGTAGACACAGTATTTGTGTAGTAACCACAGCGTATGTACAATCATGTAGAGACGTAATTTACTATTATTAACATGCTAAGAATTGGTTATCGCTTGCCTGAAATAGCTAAATAGCTTACTATCCCCGATTCAGTGACAAAGTGTAACATAGAATATCCAAAATTATGGATAAACGACACTAGCATCTACGAATTACTAGTTTGTTCGAGTGATGTATATTTAGTTTTCTTCAAGTAAAGATTTTAATTGTAAGTTTTGTACTTTAAAAAATGTTAAAATTGGTCTTGTTATGTTTTGAATATTCTGAATTCAAATAATTTTTTTTAAAAAAATTATGGCGTAAAAAAAATATAATATGATATAATGCATGTAAACCATGGAGATATAGCAAAAACTATCACTGTTATTGTTAGTATTTTTTTTAACTTCAATTTTTAAAATTGAGTTTAAACATCTATAAATAAAAAAATTATTAAAAAAATAATTATTATATTAAAGTTATAAAAATATAATAAATGATTTTTTAATAATTTTTTAATAATTTTTTTTATTATTAATTATTTATTTTTAGTTTTAAAAATTGAAGTTAACAAAATCTTTATTGTTATACTAAGTTCTATCTTTAAAAATTGACTGTTGAACAATTAATTGTCAAATGGATTTTGTGTAAAATGAATTTGATTAAATTGGATATATTTGGGATTACAAAAATTTAATAAACATAATTACATACACGACACGTGCGTCACGCGTGAAAATTGGATATGGAATTCATCGTCGACGAACATCAAGGAAGTTTTCCACCACATTTTCGTGTCTAAACATTGCACTGCCACAACTACATGTTTAGTTCACCATTAGTGTTCAACCAAGTGGCCTAAAGCGGCCCCAAAATAGTACTTTTGTGGCTTGGTATTATCTTCTTGTTTCCAATCTTTTTGTTTTTTATTTAACGGATGTGATTCTTTTCAAATTTTGTCTATCACAATGCTAAATTATTATTATCATCCGTGTCTGAGAATATATTGGATAAGTTACTTAAATATTTACTTACTTTTTTTATTATATGATATAATTTTGATTGTAAAATTATTGAAAAAATCAAAATATAATATTTCAATATATTATATTAAAATTATCAAAATATATTTAAAATATAATAATTAAAATATAATAATTAAAATCATTTTTGTAAATTAATCGTTTCAATTATTCTATAATCATGTTGTCATGTTAAAAGAAAGCTGTTCAATTACGGACAATTATGAGTTTGAAGTACATTTTTGAAATTAAATTTTTATATTTAAAAATAAAGTGGCAAGAATCGAATATAAAATTACTTAATTGCAAAAGTTCTAACATCACAACAAAATTTAATAAGATAAAAAAATTCAAATAAAACTTTGATCACAAAAATTATTACCGTATACTAATAGAACATATCAAAATTAATTTATTAAATTTAAATAAAAAAATTAACCTTGAATAATTTATATTTTATATTTATTAGAAAATAAACTCAAATAATAAATGTCTACCTATATTATTAGGAAATTAAACGAATCTAGATTGTTTTTAGTTTTAACAAGACCTGAAAATTCAGTAAGCGAAAATAGACTCACTTAAGCGAAAATACAGAAAATGACAATTTTTTATATAAAAATAGCTTAAGCGAATTTTTGTAGATTCGCTTAAACAAATTATTTTGGCTTAAGCAAAATTTGTGCATTCGAGGAGATGGAGATTGTGTGTAAGAAAAAGAAAGAACTAAGGATGGATGGAAATAAGGAGAGCAAATGGTATAAGATGATGGTAGAGCTGGAGGGTGGAGAGTTGGCTATGAAGGAAAGAGGAAGAGATAGATATGGTGAGAGTGGGAAGAGGAAGAAAGAAGTTAGGCATGGGGTGAAAGGAAGAGGGAGTTGGGAGAGAAAGAGAAAAGTTGGATGTGAGAGAATGATAAAAGTTGAATATGGGGACTAAAAAAAGTTGAACATAGATGTTAAATATGGAGTGTTAGGCCTGAGGAAAAAGGAAAAGAGAAGATTGGGAAAAAAGATGCAAAATTTGCTTAAGCCAACATAATTCACTTAAGCTATTTTTAAATAAATAAAAAATTCTAGTTTTCTACATTTTCGCTTAAGCAGATTCATTTTTGCTTAAGTGAAAATAAAACTAGATGTCCGGCCAAAATTGGAGACAATCCAAATCCAAATTAAACTTCTATTTAAAAGTCAAACATTAAGAATTGAATTATATTTTTCTTTATCATAAAAGTTCTAATATCATGTAAAAGACTATTTATCTAAAATGTACAAAAAATTATTAAAATGAATTAAATAAATAACATGAATAAATAGATTAGATAATATTATATGACAAGAGGTTATTAAATTGTATATTATGTCAATTTGATAGCCTTAAATGTCACAGAGATAGTATTTAAGATATTATTTTTTTTATATTTATACGACGAATATTATTCACATCACAATCAAGGTTGTGCATTAGATTTTTTATTTTTTATGCACAAAATATTTGGAAGGAACTTTTTCATTTTTAAATAAAAATCTATCCCTTAAATAAATCACACACTTAGAAATTGTAAATTGTATTAGAGATTTTATTCCAAATACATATAAGTATACAAGTCAATTGTCAAAACTCTTCAAAAAGAATACCTCACCATGAAGAGATGAGCAAATCAAGGTAGTTCAATAACTCAAAATGGTTGCGCAAAATTCTCCTCCTCTTAAAATTCCTTATTTTAGAAAAATAATTCTACAATTAGGCATATTATGGCCATGCAAGTAAACAATTTAAAGATGCTTAGAAATATTACCAGACAACCTTTAAAAGCATTTGCTATATAATATAGAATAAAAAAATTTGATTTCTATTTAAGAAGTCATAATTTTGAAGTTCAAATGAATTATTTTTCTTTTTTAAAAAAGTTGAATTTCAAAAATAAAATGCCTTCAGATTCCTAAATTCTTCAGTTAAAGACATGATTTGTCATATATGACTTTAATGTGAAGCACATTAAAGGGGATCAAAATTTGATTCCTCGCATGCTCTTTAGGCTAAAGAAATCTATCTAGATTATTTCTGACTTTCATTATTTTCCTTTCATTTTCATGGCACCACTTTTGAGAGACTTTTCTTCTACAGAGAAGGTTTTTCCATTTGAAATTAATCATTATTTTAATTCAATATAACTCAAAGAATTTGCTAGAAATGATATTTTTTACTATTTACACTAAATAACAAAATTAATCCCTAAAAAAAAGCATAGGATTATAACTATTTCATTATGGACCATCTTTTTGCCAAGGTCATAAATTTGACTCCAATGTCAACATTTGACATTAGTGAAACTACACTATGGTATATCTAGTGCATTATCCTTCATTATGTACCATTAGAAATTAGAGTTCAACATGTATTAGAATTCTTGCTTATACCTAAAAAACATGAATTTCTTTATTAGACCTTGTTAGAATCATTTTCCCCCCTCTTAATTAGTGAAAAAATATTAAGAAAATAGAATAATAACACAAATAAAATTGCGAAAAATAATCAATTCTATTGTTAAAGGATTATTACAAAACTCTCAAACATCACTTGTTGGAAAAATGGAATAACACAAATAAAATTAGTAAAAAATAATCAATTCCACTATTAAGAGATTAATACAAAACTCTTCTATATATCACACTACCCTTCTACATAACACATACAACTCATAAACAACTCTCTCACTCTTATTGTGTTTTTTTGTTGTAGTTGCTATTGTTTGTTTGTTTTAGAAACTCCAACTCTACATATTTATACTAGTTAATTAAGGAATTAAATTGTAGTTGCTATTGTTATATTTTTTTGGAAACTCCAAGGCTACATATTTGTACTAGTTAATTAAGGAATTAAAAATTACACACAACACACACATATACATTGAATTTTTACTCAAATCCAAAGTACTTTAGCCATCACAATATATCATTAACTTATTTTGTATATGTATTCTGATGTAGATTTTCTATTATCATGATCTCTAGCCATGTTAGTATATGTATAACCTTCCAAGATTGGATCAACTCTCCATAACACAAACATGTCTTAGATGTGCCTTTAAGATACTTTAGAATCCATTTAACTGCCTCATAATGATCCTTTTTAGGATTTGATAGGTATCGACTTACTACTCCAACAGGATGAGTTATAATAGGTTTCATGCACACTATTGCATACATCAAGCTTCCAACTACTAAGGAGTAAAGAACTACTATCATTTTATTCATTTCGTGTTTAGAAGAGGGACATGACTTTTTGCTTAGCTTGAAGTGATTAGCCAATGAATGACTTATTGTCTTGACATTCTCCATATTGAACCTCTAGATAACTCATTTAACATATTTATCTTAGGATAACCACAACTTTCATACTTTCCTATCTTTGTAAATATGCATACTCATAATCTGTTGTGCTGGTCCAAAGTCTTTCATATCAAAGGACTTAAAAAGTTTCCCCTTCAAATGTTTTATTTTTGTTACATCTTTACCAACTATCAACATGTCATCCATATACAATAGCAATACAACAAAGTCTCCTCCAAGAATATTTTGGAAGTAGACACACTGGTCTGTAATTGTTCTCTTGTAACCTTGACTCATCATAAAATAATCAAATTTCTTATAGCACTATTTTGTAGCTTGCTTAAGGCCGTAATAACTCTTCTTCAATCTACACACAAGGCTCTCTTTTCTTGGA